AAGTCATTGCCGATTTCAAATAAGAAGGCAAATTCGGAATTTTTGTTTAAAAATATAACTTTATTCAATTAGATATTGGCCGTTCTTGTCGATCACCTTTTTCCATCGTTCTGGCAGAGTAAAAATTCCCCCTTCGTAAAATGTCTGGTCTTTGCTATTAAAAAACTGAATTAGGTGTGATCCGACATCATCCGCGTTGTTAAAAATTTTACCATTTAAAGAGTTTTGCATGGAACGAAACAAATGGTAATCCGAAGGCGCAAGATCAGGGCTATATGGTGGGTGTGACAAAACATCCCAACCCAGTTCCAATCATTTTTGCCGAGTAACCAAAGATGTGTGGGGCCTTGCGTTATCATTATGGAAAACAACACCCTTCCGATTTGATAATGCCGGCCGCTTATCTTCAATTGCATCCTTCAGTTTTTCGAGTTCTTCAACATATACATTTGAATTTATTGTTTGGTTCTGCGGCATGAGTTCAAAATACAAAATTCCTTTGTTATCCCACCAGACTGACAGCATAATCTTTCTTTGGTGAATCTCTGCTTTTGATACTGTTTGGGCTGGTTGATCTTGCTTCACCCATGATCTCTTGCGAGTAACCTTGTTATAAACTATCCACTTTTCGTCGCCAGTAACTAGGTTCTTCAGAAATGGATCATTCTCATTGCGTTTCAGTAGCGGCGAATCACAGATGCTAATCCGTTGCGTCAAATGAATTTCCTTTAACTGGTGAGGGATCCATAAATCAAGTTTCTTGACATAACCAAGGGTTTTTAATTTTTTTTCAATGCATATATGCGACACATTGAGCTTCTCTGCAATATCTCGTGTTGTGCTGTGACGATTTGAATCGATAATGGCCTTGATATGGGTTTCATCCACTTCGACTGGGCGGCCAGATCGTTGTGAATTTTTCAGTGAAAAATCACCGCAACGAAATCTTTCAAACCAATTTCGACACTGCCTTTCTTTTAAGGCTTCATCTCCATATACGGCACATAACTTCTTTTGTGCTTGCGATGCGTTCTTGCCTTTTCGGAAGTAATACAATAAAATGTGTCGGAAGTGCACGTCCTGTTCTTTCATTTTTAAATTGGGATAAAAACAAAACTAAAGAACTAAACAAAAAAATTTTTACTAATTAACTTAGAAGTCCATACAGTAAGGAAAAATATAGGTTAGATGCTCTGGCCACGTTAACAAAACAAAAGAAAGTATAGAGTGAACCCGTCAACAAAAACGGCAATGACTTAGTTGCCAACCCAATAGATAATAATGAAACTATTGATTAAGGGAAATGTTGACGGTTAAATTTGCAATCTTTTTGATCTATTAAGAGCCACTGATGATTATAGAGGGGCAAAAATATTACCAAAATAGTTTTTCATGAACAGAGTCATTTCTTTACCATTTAAGGATTTACTATTGTTATTACAAATGAGAAGACTAGGTTCGTTACGCGTGGCGAATTATTCCGGTGGGAGGCCAATGATTGACAAGGAGTGCTGCTTTCGAGAATTTAAGAAAATTGAACTTGACGGTTGCTGATAAGGCATTACATATGGTCAAAAATCCCATGAGTAATTATTTAAGGGCATAAATAAACATTCTCCCAGGCTTTCCACCTTGGAGGATTTAACAGAGGCTGATTTTCACATTATCTAAAAAATGAATTAGATTAAGCATTCTCCCTTGAAAGTCTAAAAATATTCATTCATATCAAATGGCAAGCGTTCTGATGGTTATCATTAGATCTTTAGTTGACTTCAAGCCTCACAGAGGGGAAGGTACATCAAAGTGAAAAAAATCGAGAGAGGGGAGCTAACAGAAGAGTGTTTCAAAGATGTAAAAGAGACAGACACAAAGGTAGAAAAAAGGTGAGGTGAGTACTGTGAAAGTAGTCCAATATGACATACTGTGGGGTGACGGTAGTTTGAAGTCAGAAGTCAATTCCCGGTTTGTAGACTTTTTTGCCGTATGAGTATACGCTGCCCAGGGTGCACCACGTGGAGGTAAGACTATCGCACACCCCAGTCTGAAAATATAGGATATTGTGATTTAGTTACATTATCACAGGTGACAACACTACTGGCGTTGGATTAAAGGAAGGAGTATAATTTTGAGCGTATTAAACATTCCACCTCCTACTTTACATTAGCTGAAATTTCGGAAAAAATTGTAACTTTAATCATGAATTTCTAGAAAAAAACCGCAAAAATATTTATTTGGTCAGTTCTATTTGTGCGCATACCAAAATGAGAATTTTTGGCATATTTAAGATTAGCATTCAAATGCGACCATGGGGCAGGAATTGAAATATTGATAGGGTACTACTTCGGCAGTGAAAATCCAACATTTTCAGATTCGATTTTCCAGGAGTACTTCAAAAATTTTCATGAATTATATTAAAGATCTTGGTATTGTTCTTGTTTTTCGTGGCGATTAAAGTTGAAATGATTTTTATATTTATGTGTTTACTGCTTGCAAATAACTGTTAGAAGTGCATCAAAGTGTAACTAAACTATATGTAAATACCTTTGCAATGATTATGGGGAAAACTGAGTGCTTATAGCATTCCAATTTTTGTGAAAAGCATTCTATCGTTTGTTACCATCAGATTCCGCCAGTGCATAGTATATCAGAGGTGNCTTGAAACGGTACTTTTTACTAATCTGTATTTTTCGAAAGGTGGTAAGTGCTTTCACTTAGCAAACTAACTCATCGCAGACAAAATTGGTGAGAAAAGTTTATTTTCAAAGGAAGCGTTGAAGGCGTACTTCCTCCAGGTTTTAAAATATTTTTTTCGAGAGGTTATAGACGACTTAAGTAAATGCAATTATATTTAAATCAATAGAGGCTTCGAAACAAATACAGATCATGATTATTGGTGCAGGTTAGAGGATCTGGAGCGCGATATAGGATCCATCACTACATTTCAAACGGGTTACTGTTTTCCATTTGTTCCCAATCAGTAATAAGCAGACATTTAACAATGCATCCGGGAAAAATTATTTGCCACAGACAATTTACATAATGGTTGATTTTAATAGGAAGAATAACTCAAATGAATGAAGCGAAATTGGGGGCAAAGATAAATATTTTTCCGTTTTTCCTTTACTGTAAAAGATGCGTTAGTGATTTTTAAGCGAATTCCTCCGGAATCATGGTGAAGGACTTACCATTCAGTTTAAATGATCCGTAAAACATGCTGCAGTTGTATTTTGAAAATGAGAGAAAGCCATTTGAGTCCCTTGTGAGCCTTGGATATTGCTCTCCATAAATATCGCCACCGGAAACATGAAAAATGTGTAGTTGACATGTCTGTCAAAGATAATGTGAGCTTTGACGATAGCTGAGCATTAAGCTGCAAAAATTTAACTGAATAATCCACAACAAGTGTCATGATTTGTGCGCAATCTAAATTTCCATTATAAAGTAAATTGAAAAATTTCTGGAAATCGAAAAATTATTTGAACGACTCTGAATTTTTTGAACAGCGATCTTAATAAATCACTTTCTTCGGTACGATAGTGCTGAATAACTTTGAAACTAAGCAATACCTTCTGTTTCAATGGGGAAATAAAATTACCTTTTAATAAGATGATTTTGAAGAGTTTATATCAAATGGCAGACGTTTTGACGGCTATCATTAGCCCTTTAGTTGACTTCAGGCTTCACAGAGAGGGAGGTACATCAAATTGAAAAAAGTCGAGAGGGGAGGGGGGAACAGAAGAGTGTTTCAAAGATGTAAAAGAGGCAGGCACAAAGGTAGAAAAAAGGTGAGGTGAGTACTATGGAAGCAGTCGAATAGGACATACAGTGAGGTGATGGTAGTTTGAAGTGAGAAGTCAACTGTCAATTAATAGACATTTTTGCCTTATGAGTATACGTTGCCCAGGGTGCACCACGTGGAGGTAAGTCTATCACACACCCCAATTTTGAAGAGTTTATGAAGAGGAGTTCTTTCACACTTTCGTTGTGTATATAGGTCTTCTTTTACGGTTGTGCCCGATTGCAACCTTGTCTGAATTTGACTCAGTCATTTCATCAATCTAATAGCAATTATAGTGAAATTCAAGAACACTTCTGATAACTGAGTTCAGAACACACCAGGCCAATGATTGCTTCTGTCATAATTTGCTGTCAACTTGTCTAGAGCGTCGTTCGCCGAACGCATTGATGATGGAGTTGCTTTGTGGCCTAGAGACTACCTACGAAAATTGTTCACACCGAAACAAATACATTTTTTTACATCTTCAAGTGTTCTTCATAGACTTTTCTACCACAAAGGTACCATTGAATTATAAACCTCCTTCATATATATTCTCTACCTCTGACGTACGGTATCCCAAAAACAAATATCCCATCTCAACTCTTTCTCATATGTTTCAATCGAAATTGAGCTTTCTGAAAACATTTTGCGGAGCAAATGTAGTGGACAGTAGCTGCAATACACGAGTTCACTAACCCTGGGGAAGTAAGCAGTCAGTTTTCCGATAGTTGACAAAGTTGTTACTCTTTATAATTGTCCTTTGTATTCACCAATATAAAGAAAATGAATCGTTTACACAATATGACGATTTACTTAGGCGTTTTATCTTTACTTCTAGGTCTTATTTATGCATCTTTTTAAGTGATTTCTTCTCAATAGAAGAATTAGGATAAATTGAATCGATCCCTCATAGATCTATGCTTTATAATAAATAAGCCCATTTGTAAGTACACACATATATTTTTTGGTATATACAATATTACACAAAGTCCAGATTTGTACAATTCATACACATGAGGTGTTTTTTGGATTATTGACCCTCAAGAAGTAGTAAATGGTTAATTTTCATCAATACATTTTGGATCCGAAACCGCATATGATCAGGAATGACTTGAAAATTGATTTTAGACTTTTCGATAGATAAAAATAAAACAGGAATTTGAGAAATGAGGGGAACAACTACGACATCAAGGGTAGTAGATGTAAGTTGTACGTAAGAGTGTCAAGTATACACCGCATTAACTCGGTCGGACGTATCTCCACAAAAAATGCTTGCACGACATGTATATGGGCAACCGATATTTTCACCGTAGACGGTGTTTTCTGATTGGCATTCAGGTATGCGACAATAACGAGGAACTGGGGGACACATGTAGAGAAGATTCCATCTTACTGGCAAGGTGTAACTGGGACACTTTTCAGCAAATGGCTTACGATTCACAAAGGCGTTGCCATTCAGACAGAATCCAACTCGCCACTCAGGAGTTTGCTGTCTCGAAGTTAAATGAATCACAGCTGGAAGCAGAAAATCTGCAAAGCCACCGATTCGTCGAAGTGAGCGTTTATTTCGTCGTGGGTAGCCGGTAGGTATACTGTTGTTAGTGGCATTCCTGTTACTCATTGTCTTATAGGGAACTTGTAAATTCGATTCTTTAAATGCATTCACAAAAGTATTTCTAGCTTGAGACCTTCGTTTTGCGGATTTTGGCCGTTTAGTACCACTGTAAAAGCGAATGTAACCATGTAGAAGACACCGCTCTCGATTTAAACTTTTCTAAAATAAATAAGATTATCAGGTAGAATTATTTACCTAAAGTAGGCTTCAAAAGAAGGTAAATGAAGGCATGACTGAGAAGTAGCTGACTATTTATTCAAATATGGCTATTAATCGTGATTTTGTGGAAAAAGGATCATGAGGACACATGGAACATAATTTCAGTGATTGAGACGTCGCCGAAAAACGATTTTGAATTTTTTCGCGACTCTGCAATGTCCATCACTAAATCCAAGATCGTTCCAATCGCCCAATTAATCGCGGCCTAGTTAACGGACAACTGACTTTCCTATCTTCTAATCAAAGCACACTTTCTCTTTCTCTCAACCCACCCCCCCCCCACTCACCCCTCATAGACACCCATGGCTTGCGGTTTGATAAACAAACTCCTAACTTTGAGAAAAATTTAACCAGATTTGATTGAAAGTAGAAATAGCTTAATCACATAACTATGCAAAATAATTTACCATTTCGTAGTGTTGTTCGCCAGTGTTGGTTGAGATCGTGTGGAGAAACGAATTAATTCGAAACTAATTTATAAGATACAGGCAATTTATAGCCACATAATGATCTTAAATGACAGTTTTCGTGTTTCCTTAACATTGAATAACCCTACGTCGTGTTAATCTCGTGGAGGATAGAATTAACTTGTTACTGGATACTTTACTATAAGAGGTCAGTAGATGATGAAGTGTATTTAATTTGATACAGTTTCTAATTTTCTCGACGGACCATTTATGCAAATTTTATTTGAATACAAAGCTTGGCTCTATCGAGGAGAAGAGCCGTTTTATTTCCCATCCTTCACTCACTAAACAAATAAGTAACTAATATATTAATAATAATAAAAACTTAACGCTTCTACTATGAAGATGACGAAAAAGTATATCTCACGGAAATCCTGCTGGGTTAATAGCCATAAAATTTATTGATATGTTTTCATCAGTAAATTAATCGTAAATCAATCATACTTTCTTCAGTAACTTTTCGTAATAAGCTCTAGTAATTTTTTATCAAGCAGTAGGAAGCTTACGCGAACAGCAGGCCTTCCATTTTTGTTGAAACAGAAGAAATGCTTGGAGACCCTGTTTCGTAGATACACGCCATTGTAGCGGGGTTGAGGGATCCATTCCCACTCAACTAGGAAAAAAATTACGCATTAGCAGAATTCAAATTAACGGCAATCATTCGACTTTAGATATCTACTTCAACATTACTTTTCCGTAAAAAATGTCGAATTGTGCGTGAAGTATTAGTTGGCAATATTGCTTCCTTAATTTTACAACTATTGGACACTGGATAAAGTTGAAAGTAGTGGTAAACAGCCTGGAGTTTTCGAGTCATTAATTCTCAAGCGAACGAGCAGTATGTAACAGTTTGAGAATACCCCCAAACTTCATGGATTTGCAATCTAGGTGTTACTATGGCTGACCACTGTGTGGCCTAAAAAGAAGTTAATTTCCTTCCTCTCTGCATTTACCTTGAACCATTGAGTCAGAATGTAATGATCGAATTTATTTATTGTGAGGTCATGAGTGTTTTCTAACAGAAAAAAAATATAAGAAATGTAGTGAAGCAGTCTTTCTGTTTGAGAAGGATTGTGAAGCCCCATTCAAATAAGCATTGAATGGAACATTTGAAATGGGCAGAGCAGAAAAGACGTGAATATTAACCTTCTTGGAGGTAAGTCATAATGATGTCAACATCTCGCCTATCTAAGTTGGGAAATTCTAGATCAGCATACACATACAATATTTTCAAGCATTTATTCTGCTTCAGTCAAAAGATGCCATAGAAAATAAAGGAAATAAATATATTGTTTGAAAGAATCCATTTAGAAGTCGCTTTAAATGTACCTGAACTTAAATTTGTACATGATATAAAATGGTCTATGCTATCTTCAACTCATAGATAAAATCCAGCTGAAATGACCAGGGTGAAGAGAGTAATATCGATTCAAAGTTAGTCCCTCTTCTGATAAATAACTGGTTGCCATAACGAATATATTTTAATAAGACCGATGGTGAAAGTACATTTAAACATTTCCATGTTCATACAGAACAGACATCGATCATTTGAGGTTAACCCCAAATTGGGAATGGAGAAAGTAGACGCCGTGACGATTTTGGGGCTCACGTCAAATAGGGCTTTGCTAATTCCGTGGCTCTCGCTTCCACTATCCCAATGCTCTCTTTCAAGTTTGAGCGATCTTTTTTCTCCCACACGCTCTACATGTTGCGCGGTGATTGGAAATTGAGAAACTCACTGATTTGGCTGAATGGATTGCGTTCTCTGGCCACAATTTCTCTAGAGGAATTGCTCTTGGAAAGATAAGCGTGGACATCGGGACTATAGAATCGGAAGGCAGGGAAAACTGCATTAGTTCGAAGACTGTCAGTATTGCTCTTTAGCTGCACATTCTGTCGGGAAGCAGTCCCCACTGGAGTAGATTGAGATTTGGGCAAAATAAGGAGGTGGGTAGAAGAGTAGTAATAGATCCAGGTGTTATAATATTCGAAGTTAATTTTTGATTGTTCGCTTGGAGATGAGGTCAACTTGTTGTACAATCGTCTTGCAGAAGAGGGAAAATGGGGTTGATTGTAACCTGAGTTTTCAAATGGGGGACTAGTAATGTGCTGTCGTTTCAGATACTGCAATTGGGATTGTAGATACAGACCCTGTAATGGAGAGCGTATAACTCAGACTTAAATAGAATATTATGAAACATTACAAAGTTTATTTACTTCTATGAAGATCTACTTTTAAATTGTTAAAATAACAGTTTCTTTTGAAAAAAATCCACAATTACAAAATGGTTTTTAAATAAATGTCAACAAAATCTTACCTTTGTATATTGTTCGGAAGGTTCGATCATCGTGAGCGTACAGAATATCACAATCCATATACTAAAATTAAGCACAAAGGGGGATATTATTAACCATTTTGAAATTAAATTGATTGAGTTAGAGTTATGGCAAAGCCATGATGTATTAAATAACATGCCTTTCATTTTCTGTATTAGACAAATTTAGATCAATTCGGATTCGTAGACGGTTTTAAAGCTAATGCTATTTTCAAACAAAACACAACTGAGTGACTGGATACAATGAGCCAATTGTCTTCGTTTTAAGAACTAGTGAATGGACTCGATACAAACTTTGATTATCCGATTCCCATTTAATGTACGGATAAAACAACAACTCGTAACATAGCAATTAATAAATAATAACATTTTTTCGTTACTGATGAGATGCCTAAGCCAAGAAAGCTCAAGTCTACGGTGCCTAAAATTGTCCCCGGGAGAAGATTTTCCCTGGAATTGTCACTAGGTCACTCATCATCCCTATTAATACACTCTCACAAGCCTATCTCGACAGCTTGATCGCGATTTGAAAAGAAATTTTTACTAGTCCTATAGAGTTCTATTCACTGAAAAATTGTATGTAGATATACTAGGGTGGCATGACAATCCAGTTGACGCAATTGACAGGTCTATCAGCCCTGAGTACTGCAGTCCGGAACTAAGCGATCTAAAAGAAAGACATGAATGCAAAATGGGCGGTTGGGTGCGAATTCTGGTAAATTACACCTTGACTATCATTATTTGTTTTTACGAATTGTTTCAGTGTTTTTTTTTGACATTGGTAACTCCAATGCCTACGATGTCTGTGTTGTGGGCCGGTGTGAACCTACCATTGCGGTGATACATCATTAGTGTCAGCTCAATTGTAACTTTGGAATAACCGGATTCGAATAAAAGTAAACTGCCCATTCAGCTGTGGACCATATTGATCCTTAAATCCACCTCTCGCTTCCCCATACAACAACCGTTTTTAAATAAAAATACATCACCAGACGCCTTGATGATATTTAATTGCACATCCTAAATGATGGATGCTTTGTTACCAATCACCTAATCATATTAAATTGCTCGTTTATTTAAAAGTTGACATGGATTACCACAGATCTAACCGATTTACCAGAGGCAAATTTATGCTCGCACTTGTCGAGGGGAAGAAGGCGGATATTTTAGAATGTTTGATGAGAGAGAGGAATAGGGTTTTGGCTGAAATATGCCCCCCTCCCCCACTGTGTGTGGTCAGGGATAAAACTGGTACTTTCCAAACCTCTCCATCTGCCCGTAATATTCACCCGAGGGCACACACTGTTTCTATCTGCCACCACACCCCTCTTTAATTTGATCTTTCTATTGGCACAGCAGATACCTGCATATCTTGCAAGCGGTAGGGAAGACCTTTAATAAGAACCCACACTCACTAACCAACTAACATATGAATGCATTAAATTATTCCACGTTTGTTCTTTTTTTCGTCTGAAGGATCTTCAGCCTTGGCTTACATCCAGCAGTCATGTGCGCAATTCGGAAAAGGTCAGATTGTGACGGGTAATACATGGGTATTAATTGATATGGCCACAAACACCACGTTGGGGGTTGCTTGCAAGCGCGTGAAACAGGTAAGATAATTAGGTATGTCAATTTCCACACAAACGCTTCTAAAACTTTTTCCGATCCAATGGAATTTTCTTAATTTCTTTAATGTTAAAACGCCTTAATCGCAACTTAATCCATATGGGCATCTTTCCTCTCGGGAACTATATTCACCCTATTTCATATTTAGCCAAACACATTGTTTAATATTATCAAATTTTATACAGCATCGTAAACTGTAAAATTTCATCTATCGTAAGTTACATTTTAACTCTTTATGAGGCAAACTCATTTTACCACCGTAGGGGGAATTACAGCTGATTTCTCATCCAACAGAGTTGAAAATCGATAATGAGTTAGGAAATTTCTAATGTCATCATTAAAGGGGTCACAAAATTCCTATCCCATTTCGAAAGTTGTTAATAGGGTGAAAATGGCATTCTGATTTTACGGATATTTATAAAAAATATAAATAAATTTTTAACACCAAAGGCAACATGCTCTAATCTGGTTAATTTTTAAACATTTTACTTGAAGTTAATTTGTCTATGGGAATAAATATATCATATGAATTTTAAAATGGGACTAAGACGATATCTAAAACTTTAATTATAAGACTTACCGGTATTTGATTTGAATTCTTGGTAAGTCGACACAATTAGAGCTGGTAATTTTACTACAATATTTTCTCAAACAAATGCGAGACGACACATAAGGCAACGACAACAGCGACAAGAGTGGACAGGCAAATGGGATCGTGGAATTCATGGAAACTTCCAGCCCAGAAGAACATAGCTCTCAGATGTGAGATAGGAGCCGACCGTAAGACTTCTGAACGGCCAGATTTCGCTGCTTTTGTTCTAGTGTCTGGTCTTCTTTTTGGTTGTTTCTTGTTATAACAGCGCCAGCTTCATTAAGTCTATTGCCGTTTCGCTCTCTTATCCCACACACTCTAGCTGGAAAATATCCACGAAAAATTTTCTCTCTCCTTCTGAAAAGATGCACAAAATTTATTAGAAAAAAGTGAAACACGATGACTAATCAACTATGCTCTTTTCTCATTTATTTACGATCTCGAATTATTTGCGTAACTAATTTTCTTCCTTTGTTTGGTGAAGTCCCTAGAGTTGGTTTCTTTATCACGCAGGCCCGCTATTTATTCTTTACTAATTATCTACAGTAATATTTTAAATAATGTTTAGCCTATTATTGCACACTCGTTTTCTAATTCATGCTCATTACAATTAAGGTATTCGACACTACCAAATCTTCCAATCCGAAAAAAGAAAAACCTGTCATTAGTATATTGCTAAAAGGTCACACTCCTTCTCAAATTTCTGCCTAATTGCAAAAGATTTGATGTGAGGTAATCATAGTAATGTGACTCGAAGCTGACATATATATTATCACAAACCACGAATAGATCACAGCTTCATTTTCAAATATTTCAGTATTCTGATTGTCCAGATTATCTTCTCATGTTTGCTTCTTAGTTCCACTTTCTAGGATTTTAAAATAGAGCAACGATTTCGATGTGGAAGAACATAATTTGAAAAGCTTCTTAATTGCTATGATACTTATAAAATCATACAAGCTGAAGAACTGGAAAACTGAGTATCTCCAAAGATAATATGATATACAAAAATAGCTTTTCAAGCAGTCTTCATTTTTACCGACAGAGACTATCCACTCCAAAATACAGCCATGAAGATACCATTACATATCTAAGATCAATTTCCGAAAATCCAAATCTATTCGACATTAATACAAAGGTAGACTTGTGTCAGGAAGCATGAATATAAAAGGAAGTTTAATACCAAATACAAAATGTTTGAATCTAAATGAAGCATAAGTACCGGAAATAATTGAATACAAAGTGTTTCAAAAATAATTTTTAAAAGATACAAATACGTCAAGTAATGAAGGATTTAATTAAAGTATTTTACGAATATTTACTAAAGTATGCGACCTACAATGATTTCAAGGCGTTTGTTAGACAGATTTCATCATAGCCCATTTATCATGTGCACAGTCGAACTTGATTCAATGCGTAATAAAGGAGATGTCATCAATAAGTGCTTTTAGAATATAAAACCAATCTCCTAAACCATAGAGTACAAATATTCACAGCAAAAAAGAGAATTAAAAATTTTGCTTTAATTGACGTTTAATGATGTTATTTGAAATCAACATTCTTTTATTCTTAATTTGATAAAGAAATATTTTTTAACTAGAGTGTTTCAAACGATTGATAAAAGAAACACAAAATGCCCAACCAATTTAAATATTTTTAACTCTAATAGCTTGCTTTCATTAACTTTATTAGAAGGAAGATGGCCATAAAATTAATAATTGTCAATGCTGAGCAAAACAAAAAAGCAAAATGCGGCTATGCAATAAATAAAAATAATTAGAAATCATAACAAATACGTAAATGATAAAAGAAAGCGACAATGTCTTAGGAAAATAAACGCGAATCATAACGTACATAAGGCAATTTTTCAACGCGTGGTTACGACTAAATGTGCTTAAAAAGTTCAAGGTTGCAACATAGCTCATGCAGCAAATTCTTCACATCAAAACAAATTACAATATTCTTAATGTAATTAAATATTTTCTACTAAAACTTTACATTTTTTAAACATTTTACTCAACTTTAAATTAATAGATTAAAATTTCATATAGTTGTTTCAAATTATGAATTTGTTACTCGAAAAAATTAATCTCATAACACTACTTATTGACGGACTGGAATATCTATTCAAAAAACAATAATTGAAATATGTTTATATAATAATATATATAGACGTAACATATATATATATATATATATATATATATGTTTGTGTGCCTGTGTAGTTCTTATATTGAAAAACTCAATCGAACCTGCCTCCTTTCCCAATTTTACTGTATATATTACAAAACGATGTGTAAATATCTGACTTACGGTTTTGATTTTATCAAGAATATTTCTACCTGTGGAAAGATCTCCTTTCAAGTGTTTAAGCATAAGCAATTTTTTGCAAACATTGATAATATTCAAATTAATAATATAAAACTATCTAGAAAAAATAATGGTCTTTGCTAAACGATTGAAAAAGATAAAATATTTTTTGACAAGAATCTAATTTTTCCAATCGTATAAATAAATATAGCATTGTATTGAATTATAAGGCAAAGTTTGCGAATTAACTTCAAATGGTAAAGTTAGATATAATTTTGAGATCGGATATATTCAATTATTAAGAATTTTATTTATAAATAGTCATATTAAAGTCTTTAGAATTGCCGAATATATATTTAAAATGCGCAAATGATACAAAATATTATTGTTGTATAATAATTAGATAATTGAAAATGAGGCTAAATTATTAGATATTTTACACAAAACTCAACTTGCACTATCGCATGTTTTAAAAGACGATTTCGAGGGCGGACACTTTATAAATCCACATATCACGTTTTTAGTTATTTTTACTAATGAATTTTTCAGACGACGATTCTGAGTTCTCAATTGTCGTACATCCCCAAAAGGTGAGCTTTTTGTGTCTATATATTGGTCAATTAGCTCAACGAGGTAGAGGCCTCCGTTGTAAAACCGTCAGACGTAGCTATTGAACCGGAGCTTAATCCAGCGTGGGTCGATGATGAAGACAATACCACTATTGGCAACGCTGTTCTAAGGTATGTTCAATTGGTTATATTACTCGATTTCAGTCAACCAGCCATTCTTGACATTCATTCGCACATTGCTCGCAAGCGGCAACGAATTTCTGATGTTGAAAAATTATATGATGTCCTTGGGAAAGATTCTCAAGATGTTTTGGATTACAATACTCGAATTTTTCGTATGAGTGATGCAAACATGGAAAGGCTGTCTTCTGCTCCTTTAACGTCTGTTGAATTCAATAATACCTATAAAATGTTCTTGACTTCGAGTGAAGATACAACCATGGCTTTATTCAAAGCAAGTTATTCTGACAATATTTATCGTATTTATAGTTTGATAAAAAGGAATCTACACTTCTTGCGGACTGTGTTTTTGAACGATTCCCAATTTCCTGTGCGAAGTTTACCACCCAAGGTGACAGAGTTATTCTTGTTGCAAAGAAGCACTATTTTAAAGTGAGTCCTTTGTGGATTTGTTAATTTAATCGCTCTTAATCTAACTATTTTTATTGACAATTTTACCTTCTGTCATTTATTGTTTACTCGTTAATCTAATTTTTTCTTCAATTAGCGTTTTTTGGTAAACTCTCCTTTCCGGGTTGTTAGGGTTTAAAGGCCATACAATGCATATTTTCATGTTGTTTTCACTTATCGTATTTCTACTAAGCGAACGGCTTCTAACTTTGATTTGTGTTGTTGAGGCATAGTCAGTCATGAGGATTCTGGTCTCTTCATCTTTATTTATATTGGGGAAATTCCAATGCCGTGCAGAATATTGGTCTTATTTGATTGAATTTCGATTTGGCGATGACTAGTCCACAAGCATCAATATTTTTTGTCAGTTGCATAGTTGTTGCTCCAAGCTTTGCTTTTATTTATTATTTTCTTATAACTTTCGATTACTTTTTAAAAATGTCCGTCTTCGGAGCTTAAGTTCGAGAATTGAGAACTCCGTTCTTATATATGGCATCTAATGTAGTTTGAGATATCCGTAAATGAAATTCTAGTATAATATTTTAACCTGTTTCGGTCTATATTCTCATTTCTTCAATTTTGGGTTCCCACCTTGAATATGTAAGCCATATGGGTGATATTTCGCTTGATTGTTTTAGGCAGGCAGAAATGAATGCCCGCTTTTAAGTCTATACACCGTGTTTTAAAAAGCCTAGTTTTACTACACTTCCAGTAGTTACCAATTTCTTCAGTATTGTTATGCTCACTTAAAACTACATTTGTTGAGTAGCTCTAGTACGCCTTGCATATTAGTATTTTTTCGTGGCCTGAAGAAATAGGTGACGGAGTTACGTCTTTACTGAACTGGTCCTATCAAGTCCGAATTCTCCACGCATACGACGTTTTCTGTACTAGTTGCTTCAATTTTTGTACAGCTTCAGAGTTAGATGCTTCAAAATCGTCTTAAAGATTAGTTTCGCGGTTTTTGCATTATTCCTTAACGGAATTACTTTTCGTTATTTGTGATACTAAGGTTAACGCACAAGTATGAGAAGTCTAAGGTCATCAAAGCAAGAACATTGACTTAGATGGCCAACATCTGATCGATCATTATCAATTAACAAGGCAGGATGGATGTATGCATTTCCACTATGGGTTATTTCAACTACAACGAATTTCATAATAAGCTTTTTATATTTGTATGGATTAAATTACTAGCAAGAGGGGTAGATCACCTTAGTAAGTCAGGATTTTTTGTCAATAGATTGGCACACTAACTGCTTTATAAATATGTCTACTGGAACTTATAAAGTAGCCTGTAATTTTTACTTTCTTTTTTCAGGTGTACGATATGTCCACCAGCAAAGTAACCCATCCAAAAATCCCCTTTGATGCAGAATACGGTGAACGCGTTTCCTCTGTACAGATTTCTCCTCAAAATGAAATTGGAGCGTTTCTGGGGTCTTACGGAGTGTATATAGTCGATCTAAGGGTATGGAATTTTATCTTAATATTAAAGAAAACGCTAATTTATTTTCTACTTTCTATGCCTTCAAGCAGGTAATTTCGCGTTTTCTTATTTCATGTAAAATTATCTGGATTACTCGTTTTTTTTCACTTAATTACCAATGCTCTAAAAGGGGCAAAGATTATAGTTTATTAATGTCGTTTCTTGTCTCCTTGTCGGCTATATGGGGGGGGGGGGGGTTGTTATTATGCCAGGAATATTTAAATATTATCCATCTTCTCAGGTTGCCCATTAAGGCAACTCAAATTTATTAAATGCTTTAGCATACAAGTTTTACTAATACCTCTTTCATTAGTTCTGATTCCCTTCTAGCACATCAAACAGCCACTGATTATATCCTTAGAAAAGGGAAGTAAAACTAATGTTGTTAAAGGTTTCCTCTTTTCATCACCTTATTTTACTGAATAGATGTAAATCGTAAAACCATCATAACCATTCAAATTCTAAACCTCTTGCTCCCACGGGAGATCTAGCCATTGTTTCCTTAGTGTTTGGAGCGGTATATAAATTTATTTTCAGCACCTGCTGAAATTAGCGTTTACTTTTCACCTTGTCAAAGCGGGCTATTTGGAAATTTTTATCAAAGCGTTGTAGCTTAGTAAGATTGCATTATACAAGTTTAGTAAGGTTTGAAAGAGTGGCAGGGTTTAGTAAAAGTAAGAAAAAAATAGCACTTCATCGGTTCTCACTTTCATTTTTTTCCTTTTGATTTTTTTGTAGAGTTATGAAAAGCTAAACACTTCTCGCGTAAGTGGTTCCGCTGTTGCCCACTGCTTTTCCCAAGACGGAAATCTTCTCAATGCTTTCTCAAGTATGTTCTTAAAAAACTTTAAAATATACTCATGAAATACCGGGATAATTTAAACCGTATTTCAACACACACTTATTGATTTCATAATTAACATTCACTCGGCTTCTGGTTATCGACTGAGGTGTTTCCCAAGGCAGACGTAATTTATTTTTGCTACTGCTAGTGCGGGCAGTCACGTTATTTGTGTGATTGATGAAATGAGTTATTTTCAATTTATTTGCATTTCATTGCATCTCAGTGGGTGCAAGCGTTTATTATTGTTTAGTGCTATCTGGAATCGGGCGTTATGGTCTTGGTTGCGTTTCATCAGTTGTCACGATAAACTTTGGAAATTCCTTTTCTTTCCTTGGGACTTTCTTGTTTAGTTTTGCCTAGAATGTCCAAGCATAAAGGGTCAGAAAACTCGCAGACAAAGAATATCTTGATATTTTGTCAATATTGTTCGGACGGGTAGGTGAGATATTTTTAGAATGTGAGGACCTAATTATGCTCAGCTTATTGTATGACAAGGGAGTAGATTCTGTGCCTAGTTATGCCATAATATCACAGATCTCATGTCTACATTTATTGCTTCCAGATTTAGTTGTGTAAAGTTTGAAATCATACCATGCAGCCATATATTATTTTGCTCATTTCTTCGACCGGAGTTCTTTGAACAAATGGGAGTGATAGGCGTTTAATAAACACATGTATGACATTTCGTTTCAGTAAAAGCTCTCCGTGAGGTGTGGTTTTAGTTTTAAAGTAGTTCGCTAGTCTATCTGTGATTGAAGTCAATATTTTACTCACTATCGTGATGTGAGATGTCTGGCATTAATGTGGCCCTCTTTCTGGAATCTTGTATTCGAATTTTCCTGACATCTTCTCTCTAAAACAGTTCACTTTCAGATTAAAAATGAATTTTAGCTGGGTTCATATTTCCTTATTTGACAGAAGTAAAAGGGATTTCATTTTTTTCATAAAAAGAATTTGTTGAAAAATTTACAAAAAACAGTGCGAGGAGGTGATTTGTGAAGCTTCTAGAGCGTTTGACAGACCCTAGATCCTTATCTCACCCCTTTGTTTATGCAGAGGGTAATCCTTGGCGTTTCTTCCAAAACACACCTCTCACTACTTACGTTTCGCACTGGTGCTAACTTGCATTCACAATAACGTAGTCGAGGGATTATTGTTCCCTAAATCCTCAAATTTCAAAAAATTTCACTACTTATCACAATTTACGTCTTTATTTTAACTTCTTCATTGTGTCTTTTGTCTCGTCTCTTCATTACCCCACCCTCTCCCCCCCCCCCTCTTGTATTCTCTATTGTGAAGTGGTGGGTGTTTCTTTGTATCTTTTCTTGTGCCACTTCATTATACCACTTTTTTGTTTTAAATATCATAATCTTTTCCACGAAGGTATTTAGCAGCACAATAATGAAAAGTAGTGTTTTAAACATAGGCCAAGCTAAAAGTGTGTTGTGTGTTGCTGCATATTGACCCTCTGCCTTATTGCTATCTACATGAACCCATTGCGCCATTTTCTGGTTTTGTGTGGAACCAACTCTGAGGTAGGATTTGAATGCTCGAAATAACTCAACTGCACTATTTGACCTCTGGGTTCTTGAATGTATTCCTATCCTTCCATATCACTCCATTGTAGGTTTCTTACTATAAATGACGGCTTTATGAAATGGCATATTTATATATTAATTCATGTGCCGAAAATTGAAATCGTTTATCAATCGTCTTTCGGACAAATCGCTAATATAGGGCCAAGTGAATTTCCAACAGGGCTTAAATACTTAGCAATCTGTAGCGCGACAATTACATGTGCTTCTATTATTGTTCGTTAGTCTCGTTAACCCAGTATATGGTTGGTTCTTCCGCGTCGTTTCTCACTATTTCTTAACGATCTTGGGCAGAAGTTAAAGCTACCTGTTTGAGGGTTCGAAGCGAATTGCTTGCTTTAAAGCATTGAAACTGTCGACAGTGGGGTTTCCAGTACTTTCAAGGCGAGATTCTGTTGGTACTTATCGGCTGTAAACTATTTTTGGTCTCAATTTGTCGTGTTTTAAGTCGTGTTATCCTTATTAAGCCTCAACATTCCAGAGCTCATTAATACCACAGAATTTACGACAGCATGACTTCTAGCGCTCTTCAACAATTATATAAATTTTGGTAAACAATCGATAAGAGTTGCTTGGTAAATCATTCGAAATAATATTTCGGTAAGTAACTTGGATTTCCAATGAGTTACCATTATAATGGCCTAAGTTTAGAATTGTGTTCAAATAGTGGTCTAATGGAGTTTTCAACTTTTCAGACACTTTTTGTTTAATTGTAGGTTTGTCTCTCCGTCTAGAGTCTAATGGCCTATATATCATCCTCTTTCCCTCATCCCTTTTATGATACGATTTTATGAATTTTTCCAAATTTGTTGTGACAAGGAACGAGCTTTGCTTACGCTGGATGTTTTAACAAAAACACTTTTTGTCAATTTGAATTAATATGGTTTATATGCTAGTTAATCTGTTCTCGAATGAGCCTTATTATCACAGTCAATTTAATTAGATCGGGCTTGGTTACCTGGTTAGCCAAGATTTGCCTTGACGGCTTCACCAAAGGTCACCTTTTTTGCCCAGATGTGTGTGGAAATTCAATAATCGGTTATACAGTTCACTAAGTGAGTAAATACGTTTTAAATAGGTCACTGTTGATCTTGATCACCTACAAAATTGTGTTCAATTTTCATATTTTATTCTGTTTTCTAATGCAGTAGAAATTTCGTTAATATCTTCGACTAGTAGCTTTAAAATCCAATTATTGCTAGCTTTTTTGTTCCAGTTTTAGCTGATCTTTTCAAGGTTAAACTTGAGGAGATTTCTGCACTTTCAGTGATTAAGTCCCGCTTAATAAACCTGCTGATCACAGTTAATAGCTTCTTTTTTGATTTCGCAGGTGATAAATTTACCGCTAAATGCATTTCACTTGATTTTCTCATTTTGACCATCAAATTCGCATCTTAGTTTTCATTCACCTCACCCTACCCGCTTATTTCGGTTTCAGCACGAACAGTTGGAAGGCTTGAACTGTAATCGGACTCATAAATTTTCCACTAGTTAGTGATTGAGTTAAGCTGCACGAAAAGTGTCTTCGGGCACGCACTTTCTTGGCCACGTAAGCAGCATAGCATAGAGAAGGGAATCACGCTTGAAAGTTCTTTCTCTCTTCCTTTTCGTCCCACGAGTTGGACCTATCTTTTCCTCCTCACTTTTTTATTGTTTTCTCACCCAGTTCTTTCGTGTTCTCTCCCACAACAAGTCCCTTTGAGGTGATGAACAGGCGGAATTGATTATTCTCGCCTGTATGAAATTTGCTTCCTATATCTATATATGAGGTCTGTGCGTTTATAAATTAGATCCATATTTAAGTGTGTGTGTGTGTGTGTGTGTGTGTACTAAATTGGACGGTCAGTCTGAAGCAGTCAGTCGGTAATCTTATTACGTTTCTGGAAATTAACAATTAGAGATACCTTTTTGCCTATGGCTGGCACGTCTCATTTTATACGAATTATGTGTTGAGTTTAATTGCAATAATATTGTCCGAAAATGGTCTTGAGGTCTCTAAAAATTTGTACGATAACGATGTGGGCTTACCTACTTCAAGATAGGTGCCATCCTTTTGCAAGAAAATGGAGTTGTCTTACCATTTGAACAGATTCTTTGCTGCCTTTAAAAGTGGTAACTATGTCCTGCAAATATTAAAAAAAAATTTGTACTTGCGGAATAAGGGGGCTTGCAAAATTACATAATGGCGACAAAAAAATGAAAATTAATTGAATGGAGTCAATTCCTGCCATTTGAAGGGATAATCGAGAAGATGATCTGCCATTCTCTTTCTATTGTTACCTAATTTCCTGACGTCTTGAATGAACGTCAATAATTAGATGTAATACATGAATATCTTTACCTGTTACTGGCTTATTTATTCTCATAGTTGATCCTGAAACTGTATGTGCATTGTCGAGCACCTTGAGATGTTGAATTAACTTTTATGTTTTCTTTTCAACATATCGAGTTGGAAATAGAATTTTGACGGACCTTACCGTCAAAATGCATGAAACACAGTTTAAGTATATCTGACCGACCATCTTGCGTGCATACATCTTAAATAGAGCAGGTGTTTATTATGTTGTTTGAAACATTTCAGGCGACGGCTCAATCTTCGTCTTCGACATGAGAAAGAACGCTCTTCCAATGCATCGGTGGTATGATTACAGTTGTGTGGGCGGTTGCAGTCTCGCTATCTCGAATGACTCCAAGTATATCGCTTGTGGGTAAGTCATCAGATTTGTAGGAACCCAATGAGATTAGGATAATTTACTGGATGGCCAATTTAAAAAATGTTCCTGTGATTACAGAAAAACAAACTAATGTTACTTTCTTACTAAAAAGCTAAAAATGCTAAATATGTATTCATTAGTCCACAAGTGCTAGCACTGAAATCGATGCACAACTCAACGAATCTCCTTTCTTGGTGTGTGTATCGCTCAATACTTTCTCACATAGCTGGAGAGTTATATACACATTTCACTATTCTTTCCAGCTAACCAAATATTGAGTTTCGTTAGTGGCCTCTATTTGTTTGCGGAGTGGTGAAAAGTGGAGATTAATGAATATTATCTACTGCGATTCGGCGTTAATTTGATGAAAGATGCTTGTAATTTCATCAAGTACTTTTCCTTGGTTGTGTCGATGTCTTCACTTCACTACTTTAGATCAGTTTTAAGGTACTGATGAACGTGAATCGATACTTTTACACTCACTTCTAACAATGGCTCTTTGAATGGGAGTCACAGTTGGAGAATGAACTCCATTCAACTCCACCGAACTCGAATTAAAAATGGCATCGAGGAATATGCTCATTTTTTCCCTCTCTAATTGGAGTCACTTACAAGGTCCATTTCACCTTATCATGAATTGCCGAGGGAAAATTCCTCCTTTCTTGTTTGGCATTTGTGCTCTCTGTTCTATATTTCACAAGCCAGTTCACATTATCATCGCTAAATATAAGTTTTTTTAAGGTGATGTGGCTGTTCCACTTCCATCTCCAGAACTGCTAATTGATTTGCCGCTTGAAGGTTTAGGATGACGATCCATTTAGTAGGTAGGACTAATTTTAGCAGCCTAACCAACTTAGACAATGGTCATCACCTGCAAGACTGCCTATCTTTCCAATGGCTAATATGAAAGCTGCCTTTCCCAAAATAGAATGACGAAATTTGTCTGAAGAACACTGGCACGTTTGATCAAAGTGGGGACTGAAAAGAAAACGCTGTAATAGGCTAGGAATTAAACGTTGAAAAGCACGTATTATACGCTTACATAAAATAATCGTAAATGAGGTTCTGACGTGGGTCAAATTGCTGCACTGTGGTTTGGATTAAGTGTTTTTTTTTGTGCAATGAGTAATCAATGTAACTTATTCGATCATGCACATATATATATATAGTCCCAGTATTGTTTCTTTTCGGGGAAGATTTCAAAGTAAAAAGTAACTAATAATTTTCAATTGAATGAAAATCCATTTAATTTTACTACAAAGCTTCTCCATTTGGATTTACTTGTCGTCTTCCCCTCCCTCCCCCCCCCCCCCCCCCNCTCCCCCCCCCCCCCCCCCCCCCCACTCCACCCTACTCTCCCCCCTACGCACTGATTGATACCATCTGTGTTTATTAAGACACATACAGTATGGAGTTGGGCCAAATTCTAGTACAAGCAAATTAATTTTTTTGGTTTTAAAATAAGTGCGGAAAACACAATAGCATTCCTATTCCTCTTCCCTTCACTCCATCTCCCTCTCATAAATCACTTATATTGATTTGGCTTTTCTTTTGCCTGTCATGACCAAGCGTAGCTTGAGGCTTAATAATTTTGGAAAATTTTTCATATTTCCTTATTATTATTTAGGTCCCAATTGGGCTAATTTCAGTATACGGTAGTTTAGAAATCATATTTCATTTGCAAAACCTCGTCCAAGTTGTGTCTTATCGCTACTTAGATCATCATATAATGGGAAGGCGGAGATAATTCGTTGCTTTTCGAGCAATCAGTGATTTTGATGAGTAATTAATATGTGGCTTACGTGCCGTCACCAATTATTATTTTACGCACTTGGATTGCTTCAAAATAAACTTCCAGCGTAGACGGTCACGAATTTTGTTCTACGCAAACATCATAAACGGGCGAATAAAGTATGTGCTTAATAGGCAGAAAGTCGAACAATTTCGAATTTCTCAGTGTGTATGCTTACTGAAACAATAGATGTTTAGATTCCTATTTTTCTTTCTCCTTATCCGAAAACTATTGTTGAAACAAATTTAGAGATAACAGACTGTGATGCCTAGTCGAATCGGGCTTCATTATAGTTTAGGTTGGTCAATTGCCGATGCTTTCCCTGGGAAAGCCGGATTTGCCATTCTGTTAACCAATCTTAATGAGAGTGATTAATCATGCCTTTTCTCTCTAAGTGAGCAACACCTGTTTACCATTACGCTATCGGTGTCATTTGTGTTTACGATCTTAGAATGGTAAGTTGTTTATGAGTGCTTAGCATTCTGCCATTCCGCACGCTCAACAATGCTTAGGAGTCAAGTTGAATTCATGATCTTTGACGTGTGTAGGCACTTACGTCTTACCCCTTGGTAGTGCGTAGTACTTTTGGTAATCATATATATATATATATATATATATATATATACATATATATATATATATATATATATATATNTGTGTGTGTGTGTGTGTGTGTGTGTGTGTGTGTGTGTGTGCTTCAATTTAAGCTTATCTTTCTATGCCGTGGTAATGTGAGCTTTAGGTATTCACTTGACTTGCTCATTGTATTGATTTTTTTGCATTTGACGTGTTTCCCCTCAGCTTTATTCTTTACCTACTTGAATAGTCATTTCACTCACGAATTATTTACGAGATCGAACAGTGTTAAAGCTTGTTGGATGTTGGCTTCAACTCATCTCCTCTTGTCATTTTCTGACTTCACCATGAATTTTAGTTTTATAGCAAAAAACGCTTGATATTTCGCTGCTGGAAATTGAATAGTAGATCTTAATCGAAGCATGAGTTTTAGGGTTTTGGAGTGGAGAAAATCTGTCTGCTTTTGTTCTCATTTTTCGTATTTGTAAGTCTCCCAGGAATGATTCCTTTTCCTGTACGGTCAGGAAGCGCCGTACAGTCTTCTTTTAGGGAAACTTGTATTGGGCCAATTTTGCTAGCTAGACTTGATCAGTATTAGTTGGTCCTTGGACTTTGAATGCGTGATCTCTTTTTTCAAGATACGCTACCTTCGCATGTCGTTCTACTTTTGCATTTAATTAGTTCAATTCGCATTGTGCTGAGGAAATTTTAACCAAGCCTCGGCAATGATTAACAGGCTTGATGACCGTTGTCTGCATTTTTTTATTAGTGAATGCGCTAAAAGTACAGCAATGAGGATTAAAAACTTGGAAAATTGGGTGTTGATGTTTGGTCCATGGGATTCGGAAAACCGCTTCTCCCTTCACTCCGACTTTCTAATGTGTTCATTTGTGCGCAGCCATCTATTGTTGTGACTATTCGCACTGGTGACTTTAGACTAGAATCACAATAATAGGCTACATGGCTAATTCGGTCTTTATTCCTTTTATTGTAGATAATATATTAAATAACTGCTATGATTGATAGCTATAAAGATAGGTAATTAACTATCTCCTAGGCCGCCTGATGGCAAAATTAGGTTAAGTTTTGTGAATCATCCGGTTTCTTAACTTTGATGCAGTCGCGATATGAGGGAAGATTTCTTCTTTTTGAATATATATATATATATATATATATATATATATATATATATATATTTGTATCCATACTTTGCCCCTGAATTTGCAGCCCTTTCACATTGTTACTGTTTTTCGATCCGTGTTTTTGAAATAAGTTGTTGTTTATGATTTGAAGTACTCGTTTAAGCGGGTTTTGCTTTTAGTCGTTTTTCTTTCCAGTATGTTTCTCATACCTAAATGGTAAAAATGGGATTGGGGGGGGGGGGGGGGGGGGNGGGGGGGGGGGGGACGAGGGTTAACGAATATGGAAGCTGCGGTGGTCGATCATTTCCACCACCGAATTAACCTGTTCTGTTGAATAAACTTGGAAGGCTGTCTTTTAATGTCTTCTTTTGTCCTCCAAAATTTCTGCCAACAACAAACTTCGGCTATGATTGTTTCGTCTAGTTTTTTAGCAATTGGTAATAAATTATTCTATCTGCATCCCACCAAAGGCAAAACAAGAGGCTTCCTAAGGATCATAGAAATGCACCTATTTTCCCCCGCTCATCTTTGCTAATGCGTCGGCCTCCCAATTTCCACCTTAATCAATTTACCCCCACCTCCACCCCCTGCGTTTAGTGTAATTGCATGTTGTTATCCGCAAATGTGTGATAAATCTTCTTTTCTAGGTTAGTCGCGAACCTTTTTGATTCTTTTGTTCCACTTAGGGATTTTAACACCTCATCAAAGTTTGTAGGTCATTCTGATTTTTTAGTGCTTCATTTAAATTACCCGCACTTCGATTTGAACAATTTAAACGCAACTTGACATCTGGGTCTCTCGCGCCGTAAGTGTGTGAGCACTTTTGTGTCATAAATTTCAGCTGCTGTTTTGTTGCATCCGTGATGAAAGAAAAGTAGCGTGCGCGATGCCTGTCTGCATTTTTACCCTCAACAGTAAAGTAAAATTTATTGCTCATAAATAATGTTGAATAATTTGTCTGCTAACAAAAAGAGTTAACTTAGAGTTGCTTTTTTCATTGCGTCTGGACACAAATTGCGAACTTAAACATCTGTTTGGAAAAAATTGAGATTTCTTATTTTTACACCCTCCCCCCCCCTTCCCCGCCCTCCCCCTCCCAACGCACTAGTCGCCTTTGTAGTGGCCAGTGAAAATATGCCCCCCCCCCCCCCCCCGATTTGTTCTGTTTGACCACCTGGATCTTGGCCTGCAATGGCTTTTTAATTTGATCCTTCTGCGCCAGTATAAGAGTATGCTAATTCCAATTGAACAACTTTAAATTAGTCAACACTTAAGTTCAATTGCATCTTACGCTGTTTAAATCACTGAGTAGCTCAATTAAAGTCATTTATGTGCCCTAAAGTACAGTGTTTCGTCTAAAAAATTATTATTCAGTTTTTTAAACGTAATGTTGTTGGAAGAATGCTTGAAACACGACGTTTATTTGAAATTTGTACGTATGCGCATTCGTCTTCAATTTCTTAAACTACTTGCTGAATCTTGTGTGACACTTGTTGACAACAGTTGACAGTGAAGTTGCGTTTCACGTGGGCTACTACTCGGAAAGCTTACCGACTCTTTGGAAGCTTTGAGTTCCTGAAGTACATGTTTCCCAAATATACGAGTTAAGTATTTCCTTTCATTTCCAAATTATCTACTCCTCACGGCTGTTTACGTTCTTTTAAGCGGTAGCTATTCCTTTGGTGCATCCTTTTCTTTATCACACCGTCAATGCGGTAACCTTTGTTATTCTCTTTTCCCTCTAATCATATTTCAACCTATGTTCATAGTATGAAGTTGTTATTGATGCCACTCATCTCTAGTCAATGTGGCAAATCCATAGATTTGGACCAAATTTTGCAATTACAGTGAAAGTGCGCTTATGTATTGATTTTGTTTTAAAACCGTTTTCCTTACAGTTCGGAATCTGGTTACGTAAATATCTACACTTGGGAATCAGTGATGAAGAATTTGACTAAACGTCCGAAACCACAGAAAACGGTAGGGAATTTGGTCACAGCTGTGGATCAGTTACGTTTCCATCCATCCGGGGAGATGCTCTTCATGTCTTCCTCTCTCGAACCGGGCGCTGCTAGATTGGTAAGCATTTTTCTCAGAGCTTTTCTCCTCTATTCTACTTCCACTCGGGTAGTGTCTGTCATCTCGTTCAAAGAGGAATAAATATTAATGTCGACCAGTTTTTCTAGATTAAGCTAAGCTTGTATCGTATTTGCAGTTTTAACGGTAGTTAAATTAAATTATATACAGACAACTAAACCAATATGCTTTGATGAAACCGTATTCACATTTGACATCTGTTGAGTCGCAGACCTCGCGATCAGCTTCAATTATTGCACAAATCTATTTCTTAATTCTGGTTAGCAGAAAAAGGTGGCGTGCGACGAGTTCATCGGACAGTTGCTTAACTTCTTTTCTCTGCCCAATTTAAGCGTTACTTGGCTTATAGTCCATCACATTCTTCCAGAATTGCACTCATTATTATGGATCTAGAATCAAGAAATCTGTAATGGATCTAACTTTCTTTTGCAATGCCATTGTTATTTCTAAGGTTGTTTGTTCTCTGCCGTCCTGGTAAAAATGGCGTATTGGATAACAAATGACAATTCAACTTGGAAATGCCATTGAGCTGTCTGAGTGGAGTCTAAATAAATTAATAATTAAATGGGATTTTTGAAAAGTTTTATAGTAATCTAGCCCCTAAGGAGAGAATGGTATGCCAATACTTCCTCTAGAAAAGTAAAGATGGGTTTATACTATTGTGAGGTTTTATCCTGTACACAAATACCTTTAACGACGACTCAATAATATCTGGTCTTCTAGATTAACCCTTTCCATTCATTCTTCATTTTAGTATGACATCGAGAACCAACGCGTTCATGCTTCTTTCCCTGCCTGCATGGGACGTTTAGGCAAGCCGGTTTCGGTTGGGTTTAGCCCTCGTGGAGGTTACCTCGCAGTTGGACAGTCAGGGGGTCGCGCTGCTCTTTACTGCCTTGACTGGTGTGGGAGCAAGTATTGATTTCTCTTTTTCCTACGAGTATTTCCCTAGCTTCTTATGTACACTCAATCTACTATTATTGTCATATAAGGTTCGTCTTGTCTCCTTAACTTGGGGTGTGGTGGTGGTGGTGGGGGGGGGGGGGTTAATAGCTATCCCTATATCTTTACAGAGACGAATTGGGCACAGTCTTAGAATGAAGAATTATGTGCTAGTAACAGCACCAGGAGGGCAAAGGAATTTGCTAGTAGTAATTTGCCAAGGTTCATTGATGTGTGAAAGATGAGTGGTAGGAGGAAGGAGGAGGGGGTGGGGTTGTGCCACTGAAAATGTGGAGGGGAAACAGATAGGAAAGTTTTTTTGGTTTTCTTCATTGGGCTGGTATGCTCCTTCAAGCATAGCATTAGTGTGTGCATATGCCATATTTTTGCTCCACACTCATCGTTGACTTGGAGTGACGACAGAATACGACTTCCCCAATTCTCGAGATGCTTCTTTATCCGAAATACTGTAAATCACTTTCTGCCAATGATCTATATGGACGTCTGCCAGGCTAGGTTTTGGTGCTCCCATAAGAGTGCATTCCTGATATGTGCCTAATACTTCAGTCAAGTGCTACCAATGAATACGAAATTCTCTTGGCATTTTTTGCATATAAGGGGTTGTGATTATATTATGATGATATTGTTCCTATCCACTCAGTTAGTAACTTATTGGTGTGATAAGATCTTAGGGCATTATTGCTGTTTGAGATGAATCGTCGCCTATCGTCATGGAAACATTGAGGCTTCTAAGTGCCATTTTAAAAATATATTTCATCAGTGATTTAAAACGATCACTTTAAAGGAATCCTTAGATTTCTAATTAACTCATAAAATTAATCTAATTTAGTTTCATCCAAATATATATATAGGTCTTATTTGTCAGCGCCAATTTCCAAAATATAATTCCAGTCCTTAAAGGCGAAAAGTTATCCACCGATATTACGAAATTAAGGCTCTTTGAAACTCAGTATATCGATGTCAATGTTTCGTCTTCAAGACTGTGAAGAGGAAAATCAGACATGGGGAAAATTTTTTAAGAACAAGCTTTATTTCAGTTCATGGGACTTTGTGGTTGCGCAACTTCCCTCGTTTTATCACCAAAAGAGCTTATCAGTAAATGCTAAAATTGGAGCCTCAAATAGGTGCTTCTATTTCCCCAATTTCGGCCATTTTTTCTCAAGTCCATTTGGAAAATGATCAATGGAACATTTCATTGTGGGCTATGATATGTGTGAAGTGTTAGTTATGTCAATAAGTTCTTCAAATTAAAAATTGGTTTTAAATCGCCAGATTTTGGATATACTCATTTGAGAATCATGGAAAGACAGTTTCCTTAAATAACAAAAAGCGTTGAACGATGACTTAGAGATTAATAAAATCAATTAAAGCGGTCCTACTATGCTCATGTTACTACCTTTATTTATATCAAATGGCAGGCGTTTTGATAGCTATCATTGGCCCTTTAGTTGATTTCAGGCTTCGCAGAAAAGTGAAAAAAGGCCCTTTAGTTGATTTCAGGCTTCGCAGAGAGGAAGGAACATCAAGGTGAAATAAATTAAAGAAGGGGGGTGGGGAACAGAAGAGTGTTTCAAAGATATAAAAGAGACAGACACAAAGGTAGAAAAAAGGTAAAGTGAGTACTGTGAAAGGGGTCGAATATGACATACTGTGGGGTGATGGTAGTTTGAAGTCAAAAGTCAACTGCAGGTTAATACACTTTCTCGCCGTATGAGTATGTGTGGAGGCAAGTCTATCGNCAGAGAGAAAGGTAACCAAAGTATCAGAATGTCGAGGGGTGGGGGACAGAAGAGTGATTCACANCCCCCACGCTACTACATACGATCATGTCTATTAGCCCAAAATGAAAGAAAATAGGAAGAGTAACCGCTTCAACTAATAAACTGATCAATGGACAAAGTGCGTCTATGAAGTTAAGTACATATCAAGTGAACCAAGCTAGTAATGTGAAATATAACACACTAAGTAAAAAAGTTGGCAAACTGGCTTTAATATAGTCAAATACGGGAGAACCATTTAGACGCCAAGAACTAATATAATTTCTCCTTTTGCTCAATTAAAATATTATCGCCTTTGTAGGTAACTTTCGCGTGTGCAGTGGCAATACTTAGCACTAAATTTACTCCCACCAATAAATATTCACTGACCATTTTCAGCCAAAATTGTGCGGTTTTATTCTCATGGGAGGTGGCAGCAATGTGAGTTGTGCGTTGCTTGAAATGGAAAATGACGACAGGAAGTATCGTTCGAGCAGGTGTGAAGCAGCCGGCCATTCTCACACTACTGTTTCTATTTTAAAATTAGTGATAACTCGCAGGTTGAGGTACGAGATGATTAAATGCTATATAGTGGAATCGATTCACCCATTCAGTAATATGCGGTATCTGAATAGTTGGTTTGCGTTAGCAATAACAACTGGTGATATGCTAATAACTGGCAGTAAAAATTAATTGAAGGAGTACCGAAAACACCTAAAAGAGGGGAAATTTACATCCGAACTCCGCTCCTTTTTATAAAAAAATTGCACGAGAGGGTGAAAGAAAGATTAAAATGCGAAATGTAATTAAGAGCTCTAGTAAGATAGCGTGGAATCTATCATTAGGATAAAATTATGCGGTCCCTACTAAAATGTCGCAAGTGACTCATCGAATTTGTTTAAGCCATGTAAGAATCAGTTAGTACTCGTGGTTCAATAAAAGTTTCTTCTTTCCAATGCCAATCAACTTCATTTTCATAGAAGAGTAAAAGGTAGAAACACGGCCCACTACATTCAAAAGCTGTTTATATTTTTATATTTTGGTCTGAACGACCCCTTCTTCTTACTAATTGACTAATCTGATTCGAATTCTGATTAACACTGATCGGACAATTAAAAATCAATAAAAGAGCATAGAGATGACATTAACGTGAAATAGAAGAAGTGCTAAGATGTCACATTCCTCACCAGAAATCACCTCTGCCACAGGCAACAGAATCGGTTTTTATTTATTACCGAATCTCGTCAAGCTACTTGCTATGTTCCGCAGATTTCCCAGATGAATAGTCTGTTTTTTGAATTCAACGTACTCAACTGGGCTTAAAAATGTTAATCACCTGCATTTTCGATCACTTTTGCAAATTACAATTTTTCACCGATTGAACAAACTGGTATTATGGCAGTGGTGTTTCGAATTCTATCACGTTAATCTGCCATATTGCTTAAAACAGCAATTTAAAGATGTGAAATGCAATTATCAGGTTTTCACATAACATCCATCCACAACATGAATTCCCCGTTATTCTCCCTTAAACTGACTCTTTCTTCTTTCTCTTTGACTCTACTTTCGTTCTTTTTTCATGTGTGGACCTTTAAGTCATTCTACTCTAGAGCATTTACAGTTTATTGCTGTGAGTGCTTTTTAATTTCGAGTATTAATGTCACGGATTCGTCCATGTTCACTGGATATCTAGTGATTTAAAAAGGTTTTAAGATTGAAAGTTCAAAAAGTTTTGACTTTTAGACATTAGTATCTAACATCATATCCTCATCATCGCAAATTCCTGAGAACATTTTGCATATTCTTGGACACTGCATTAATTCCGTTACTCCAAGTAACTCCGGAACGATCTTGAGAGAAGTATGAGGTAGCAGTTAGACATCTAACCTACCTTTCCATTTTTACCGCTCTCACGACGAATATCATGAATTTTTTTAAATAGGAGACCAAAAAGAACTAGAGAGTGAATGTGTGGTGAGGTGTTGTTGACAGATGTGTTACGCCTATCAAAATTTTATTTAAACGGTTTCGAACAAGCGAACAGATTTAATTTTGAGAAAGCGAGACAGTAGGGGTATACATCAGTGGACTCGAATTGGGCCAGTTTGAGCGGGAGCTTGAGTCGTGGTAACTAAAATGCACTATTAGAGTTGGTGGGTAGTATGATCTTCAGTGTTGTGGTTGAAATAATAAAAGTTCGCTAAAAGAACTGAGGAGACACCATAGAAGAAATTTTTCGATTTAGCAAAAAATGTCTACGATAATCTAGTTATGACAAACGAAGTTCAAATCTTTGGAGTCAGTTCAATATAGCGGGGTGCACAAACATTCATTTATGGTTAGGCAAATAAAGAAATATGATTTTATGGACTAACGTTTCATGAAAATATTAAAAAATAACTTTAAAAGATATTCTTTCATTTTGTTTCGATACATACTCTGCATTTTTATATGAAATTAATTGGTCATGGTTTCAAGTCCTTTCATTTATAAATTTAAAATATAATTCTCCAAAATTTATTTCATCATAATAATCAAACCATTATTATTTATGAAAAAGTTTAGTTATTTGCATTTAGAATTTTTATTTCAATTTTCAGCATTTGCTAGCCACCCATGATTAATTTTAAATCAAATCTTCCCTGCCGAACTTGGTGAAATTAATTCGCAAAATTTGTATAGACTTAAATATTTTTATTCGATATTCAATAAAAAATGAAGAGCAAAAATTATGGCCAAACTTTAATATGCATCATTTCGTGGTTAGCCTATTATTGCACCAACTGAATGGTGGAAAAGATTGCAGAGTTGTCCATTCAACGGATAGGGCCAATCAATAGCGCCTGCAACTAAAATCAAAAAATACAAGTTGCCCCGAGCAGTTCTTCCGCTGACCTATTGTCGACCTCACCTGCGTCACTACTAATATAATCGTAGCAGTTTTGCAATGTTGTGAGGTTCTTTAAGTAATTTAACTCAACAACGATAAGCTTATTCTTCCATAGTATTTCCAGGGTAAAAGGATGCTTTTGCGCGAGGTCACATAAGGTCGGTGGCCATTTGTGCCAATTGTTTGCTATCAGGTGTTGCCTCGAAACTGGTTACCGACGGTTGTGTCAACAGTCCTACAGAATGCAGATCAACCCAACAAGGAGTGTTTATTTGTAAAGTAAATCGTTTGTCGCTTTAAATGAAACGTTTA